GCCACGATCGAGCGTGGCCTGCCATCATGTCGTGGACGGAGTCGGTGCACCACTTGGAACGGTATATCATCCTCTATTCCAAGCTCATTCTTTATGAAATCATGAAGTACTGCTTCGGTATCTTTAGGGTGAGTTTCCGTGCCAGTCTCCGTCTCTGGAATGCCCCCAAACAACAAGTTGATTTTCATGGATCGTGTCTGGTCCTCGAGCAGCATTTTCTTGACCTCGTATGTCTGTTGCTGGACCTCATCACGTTGTTGCTCAACTTTGGAGAGACGTTCCTCCAACAAGGAGTAGTGAAAGTCACTATTCTCTATACGTTCCGAATGGATAGTCAGCTCGCGTTTGATATCAACGATAGAATTATCCATGCTACACAATTTTTCGTCCATTGTATTCAGTTTAATATTAATTTGATCCAAGACGTCCAGTTTGGCGAGTCTGTTGTAAATATCGTGGATAACCATGTCAAGCCGAGGTGACGACTGGGGCGGGTAGGGGGGTGGGGACGAGGCAATATTACATGTTCCTTGTACCCCTGAAGTGTAAAACTTTTCCGATGGAACTTGCGGATGAGGCTGTGACATAGTGTTTATGTGGTGACAATATAACTCTCTGTGTGCACTTGCTAAAACATCACTTAATACAGTCTGACATTCACTTGGGCTGCGCGTGCTGGTTGTACCTGTATGCATGTCACTAATAGTGGTCACGGGTGAGTGGCCCGCACCGTCAGACCTTCGCCTGTTAATATTCCGTTTTCGGCCCATAAACACATTCCAAAAGTCCAAACTTTCATACTACTTACAGCCCTTGGTTCCGCACTTTCATTTTAAGCACAAAGCAAGCTGAGTACGTGTCTTCTCGGAGGTATACATGCCATTTCATCTCTGCCGGTCTTACAGGCGATCTACTCTCGCCGCCAGGTATATACCACATTATCAGACAGTGAAGCAATGTTGTGTTTAAAGTTTTGATTTCTTTTATTAATTTCAAATATATTCCATTAAAACGAAGAGACTGGACTCCAATCTGTCACTCAACCGACTTCTGACGTCGCCGCAGGAGTATGTTTAGGTGTGTTTTTCACGTGGTGGTCTGGACTGGTATGCCCTGCACGTTTGTGTCACGGTGTAGGCAGAGTGTACAGATGGTACAATAGAGTTGTATAGATATCCTATCTGAAGAAAGAAGCAGAGTTTTCGTCCAGAAATATTTGATGCCGGAGAGGTAAGTATAATTCCACCTGTCATATCAGTAAGTTATTGACTATAAAGTTAGCGTAGCATCAGGAATGCAATACATGTACAGGTATAACATACACCAAACCAATACCTTCTTATATACGATATCGCGGGTCTGCATTTCTTTTCGTTCGCCTGCTGAATTCGTAAAAACACAAGGACCTGAAAATTTATTGCAGCTAAAGCTGAACATAATATAAGGTGTTCAGAGTAATTGTCCAACTATAGCTGTAACAAACTCGCAGGTTCCCGTGCGTAAAACCACTCAAACTAGTTTTCGAAACCAGCAGGTTGATATTCTCTTTATGACGCCATCACTTCAATTGAAACGTCACTCTCTCTTGCTGATTTCCTTACGTTCAATTGTGTTCTGTTGTAACGTTGTAAAAGCAATAACAGTTCTTCTACCACGTTCCGTTTTGCAATTTGTTAATAACATCCCAGAATGTTCTCATATCTAACAATTTAACAGTTCCTTTTGGAAGCAGTGTGTTATGAATCTGTAGTGTTCTATAACCCTATACGTTACTTTTATAACATACCTGTTTAATCTTGTTATAGTAATACAAGCAACTTTCAGACCATGAAATACAACGTTTTGTATTGCGCATGTGCAATACGGAATGTTGTACCTACTAGCCGGAACTACTTTTTATGGGAATCCCCTTGTCTTTGCATAAAATATCAAAGTTTGTAAAATCTTTGTATCGATCTCTACCAAATACGGAAGGTATGTGATAAAAGCAAGACCACACACTTGTGTTTTTCTAACGAATCAGAAAGCACTCATTTATTGCGCGGACGTATATATTCGTTCGCGCAATAAATTCGTGCTTAAAGTGACAAAATATATAATATATCTTAATGTGATACTGAACATTTCTGAATTCCTTCCATTTTTATTTAAATATCAATCCAAATTTCCCTGCAGAAAATGACATGCTAGGCAGGATGTGAACTGTTATATCTTAATCAAAGAGCTATGGCGGGTTGCTATGCCTATTTCCCCAAAGTCGTGTCTCACTGTTTCTGACTCACGAAATGGGGATCGATCAGGTTGAGTTGGGCAACGCTCATCGTTTTGGAAAATCTGTGCGTGGCAAACACCGAAATATAGTAGCTAGGTTTCTGTACAACCATGAAAGAGCCAATATTCTCAGAAACGCAAGGAAACTTAAGGGCACACCCTACTCACTACATTAATGAACAATTCCCCCCAGAAATAGAGGACAAACGCAGGCTACTGTACCCAAAACTTAAAGAACTTAGACGGAATGGGCGCCGAGCTAAACTTGTGAGGGATCGGCTAGTAGTCGACGGGGAACTCTATACAGGGAGCACCATGGGTAATTCCAGTAGAGCTAAAGGAGATCCACAGAGTGCTAGGTACGTATACAGAGACAGCCGGTCACATACCGATGTAGTACGGGGTGTTCCGAGTGCTAGCGTTCCCAGTGACAGCGTACCTAGCAACAGTGTATCATGTGCAGGTAGTGATGACATTCCACGTCCATCGCTCAGCTCCATCGCGAAATGTACATCAACGGCTACAGGCGGTCCCCACGATGTAACACCCCCACCCAAACGAGGGAAGTTCACGAGTGCGAGTTCATGTATAGACCCATCCGATGAGGAGACATTTGTTAAAACAGTATAGGGAAACATGGAGGGCGGCTCTTCTAATGGTCCCAAAGACTATCGACTTAAAATCTTGAGCATTAATGTAAATGGTCTAACCAACAAACTTAAATGTCCAGAATTTCTAGAATACGTCTTGAATTATGATTTTATTTGTATCACTGAGTCGAAAACTGATAGTGCAGATTCTATAGATATCGACGGCTACACTGTATTTTGTAAGCATAGACAGTCACTGGCCAAAACCAGATCTGGAGGTATTATTGTTTATGTTAAAAATGAATATGTCAGATATATATCTCATTTAAAAACAGACAGCAACCACACATTATGGCTTAAAATGAAAGGTACAATGTTTAACATTGATGGTAACGTTTTATTTGGTACAATGTATATACCTCCGGCTAATTCAAAGTACTCATCATCAGAATTGTTTGAAGATGTTGAAAATGAATTGTTGTCGTTTAGCCATGATGTTAAGTGTATTTGTCTTCTTGGGGATTTTAACAGTAGAACATCCGACTCTCACGATTTTACAGACATCGTTGATGGAGATGATGATGAAAATGATGATATTGGCAGTCCTGATGTAAATAAACTTGAATGTATACATGTACCTAAGGTAAGGTGTTCTACAGATAAGGTACGGAATGATTATGGAAGGCGTTTGTTAGATATTTGTAAACACTGTAATATTTATATTTTAAACGGACGCATGGGAGAAGATAGAGGTATAGGTAAACCAACCTGTAAAAATGCAAGTGTTGTAGATTATTGTATAGGTAATTTTGAATTTATTAAATTAGTAGAAGATTTTTCGATACAAGAATTCTCTTCTTTATTGTCTGATGTACATTGCCCAATTCACATTTGTCTATGTATTAATCAAAATGTACACTTAAATAACAATGGTGATACTGTTGATTCTGAAGGTCAGAGGTTTTTATCAAGACCAAAGAGATGGAATACTGATTCGAAAGATATTTTTGTAAAACATGTGGCTGATAGAAAACTATATATAGATAGCATTATTGATGGTATGGATGACACTGAGAATGTTGTAAATTTGGATTTTATTAATGACACTGTACATAAATTATGTGAAATTTTCATCGGTGCTGCCAAACATGCTTTTGGAAATACCCAACCCAATAACCGCACTAAAAATAATTTCAATTTTAAAAAACCATGGTTTACCAAAGAATGTAAATCTGCTCGACAAAATTACAGAAAAGCCAAAAGATTTTATAAAAGGTATGGGGAAATAAGTTTAAAAGAGGACTTATATGATAAGGAGCGTAAATATCATAAAACACTGAGCACTGCTGTCAAGAATTATAAAACTCAGATTAAAAGCAAATTAAAAAATCTGAGGACTAGAAATCCGAAAGAATATTGGAAAATAATAAATAAGGGTGCTCCAAAGAAAAACAAATGTAAGGCAAATATCGATGATCTTTTTGACTTTTTTAGCAAAAGTTTCAATAATGATTTTGATGGTGATGACAATCATATACTGTCCCTAGATGAACTCAAAGAGTTGTCTAACCTTGAAACTAATACCTTTATAAATGGTTCAATTACTCCAAGTGAAACTTTGAAATGTGTCAATAGATTGAAATCTAATAAGGCTGTTGGTGATGATTTAGTATGTAATGAATATATCAAATCAACTACTGACATAATGCTTCCATTATATGTTAAAATGTTTAACTTTATACTTGATTCTGGTAATGTACCAGAAGCATGGCTTATGGGTAATATTATCCCCGTGTTTAAAAATAAAGGTGATATGTATGACGCTAAAAACTATAGACCAATCACACTGGTCAGTTGCCTAGGTAAACTATTTACAGCTGTAATTAATGAGCGTCTA